AGTTCTGAGTTGACAGATGGTTGTAAATAATCACTATCAGGACACAGAGTACTCCAGCATCCATCAAAATTCCTTTGTGCTGACCCTGCACAGTCCCTGCTTCCCTAGATCTCCAGCCCCTGGCACCCCAATCTACTCTCCACCCTACTTCCACTTTTCCCAGAACGCCTGGGGAGTAGACTCTCCCAGCAGGGGTCTGTCTGTCTTTCTCCTTCGGTAGGGTGCAGCTCAGCCTTTGTGCATTATTACTCCTCCAAGGAGCCTCATCAGATACTTTTCCAATACCCTCATGAACTTTTGCCACCACAGACATACTGTTTGTGTACTGTGTGGATACCTGTGCTTTGTTCTTCAAGAGAGGAAGACAGTTCCAGCGACTCAGGAGAAGGCAGGAGGACTGAACCTGGGAGGAAGAGGCTGCAGTGAGCCACTATCGCACCACTGCACTCCAGCAGCCTGGGCGACAGTGAGACACCCTGTCTTTTTTTTTTTTTTTCTTCTTAGAGCCAATTCTGTAAAAGGGACACCCTGTCTCTAAAAAAAAAGGAAGATGTGTTTTCCCCTACCCCACAAAGACCAGGGTGTGCCAGTTTGTGGGTAATAGCACCGTGTTGAGAATGCAGGACTTCGGCATGATGCCCTGAGATCCATCCATGATGATGCCTCAATCAACCACTCATCCCTCTGACTGCTGAGCAGGACTCATGGGGTGGAGGTACCACAATGTATCTGTCTCCCCAGAAAGGATATTTGCACTTTCCAGTCAGACACTTTATGAATAAAATCACTATAAACATCTGTGTGATTTTGTGAGGACATGACTGTTTATTCCTTTAAATACCTAAAAGTGGGATTGCTGTATCACATGGTAAGCACATGTTCAATCAGAGGAGAAACTGCCACACATTCCAGAGTGTAGGGAGGAGTCCCCTTGTGCCACATCCTCACTATCCCTTCTGATCTACTCAGTGTTCTTTATTTCGGCCATTCTGACAGGTGTGTGTGGTGAAAACTCATCATGGGTTTAGTCTGCACTTCCCTAAGCACTGAAAATGCTCAGCCTCTCTCAATGTGCTTAGCTGCCATTCATGTTTGGAAGCATGTCTGTTCAAAAAATTTTTTTTTGTGTGTGAATACTTCTGATTATTGTATGTTCAAAACTTTTGCGCAGTGTGCCTGTAGTCCCTGCTACTCGGGAGGCCGAGGTGGGAGGATCTCTTGAACCCAGGAGTTCCAGGCTACAGTAAGCCATGATTGCACCACTGTGCTTCAGCCTGCGTGACAAAGCGAGACACTGTCGCAGAAAAACAAAAAAACCAAACCAAACCAAACAAAAACAAAAACCAAGACTTTAGCACATTCCTTGATAGAAAATATGAATTAGGGAAGGAAAAGGAAGACAGAGTAGGAAGACACAGAGTTGGAGGGTGAAAGAGAAAAGTGAGGAACAGGGTGGTGAGCTTGGGAGACTGAGGACAACTCATGAGCTGGTTGAGGGAACTGGAAACTGACAGGCAATTCTGTAGAGAGTACAGGAGCTTTTCCCAGAATTCACAACAGCCCAATAAATACTTCTTGACTCTCAAGTGTCCTTAGTAGTACAGTCTGGGTACTAAGAAAAAAGCCCATTAGTGAGTTTCACTTGCCCAAGACAAGGAAGTCTTATTAGTTTCCTCATCTGTAACATGGTGACAGTAACCTGCCTTGTAGGTTACTGTGAGTAGTAAATGAGTTAAATACAGAAAGTATGAAGTCTAGTACCTGATACATAAAAAACTTTTGCAATATTAACTACCATCACCATCACAATCATAATCACTACCACCATCATCATCACCACCCCAATCACACCACTATTGTCATCATCACCACCATTACCATCATCATTACCACCATCACCACCCCCACCCCCATCACCAACATCACCATCATCACCATTACCATCATATCACCACCAGCACCACCACCATCACCACTACCTGAAATCTCTAAATCTGCTTTACCCAAAGTCTACTCTCAGCGACACACCATTGTGTGGACCTTAAATAGGGAACTCAGTCAAGGCTTTCTTGAGAAGATGACACTGAGACCTCTATGTAGTGAGGCAGCCCTGAGCCACTTGGGGAAGAGCAATTCAGGCACAGGGAGCAGAGGCAGGTGCAAGGCCATGGTGGTATAAGAAAGCAGCACCGGGCACCGTGGCTGGAACAAGGAGGAATGCAGCAGGAAATGAAGGCAGGGCAGGAACTGGGGCAAAGGTGCATCAGTGTGCGGGTGTGTGAGAGCATGCCTGCATGTGTGCACATATGTGTGGGTGCCTGTGTGTGTTTTTATTAGCTAGGCACAGATCTCATAGTGTCTTGTGGGTCATAGCAAGGACTGTGGCTCTCTAGGCCCCACAGGAGCCCCTGGAGGCTCTGTGTTGAGAATGGCCTGCTGGCGAGGAGGGTGAAGGTGGGAGGCACCCACTGAGGAAGCTGCTTCGTGCATTCTGGTCTGAACCCAAGTGAAGTCGTGGGAATCCTGGGAAGTGATGAACTCTGGGTGGTGTTGGGGACTCTGGTTTAAGACACAGTGGTAGGAAGCGGGTCTTCAGTGTCCTGTGATAGGGGTCAGGGGATGAGATGGTAACAGAGATATCTGGAAATTAGCCAACTCAGTGTGGCTGTTCTGTGTAGCTGTGCCCTTTTTCATGCTGCTCTGGTAACAACAAGGAGGGTGATGATGATGTTCTGTCTGCCTCAGCAGATGGCACAAAGATTAAGTAAAGGAAGACCCAGATGGCCTCTGGAAGAGAGATGTGTAAACTGTCACAATTGGAGAGACTAGGAGAATAAGGGGAGATGATAAAGCCAGCAACCCCTAGAGGAACAGGTAAGGGTTTACACCAGCAGAGGCGCCCAGAACAATGTCTGCAGTGGGCATCAGTCACATGACACAGGGCATTAAGGGGCAGTGAACACAAAATGCAAACAGACACAAGTCAGAGGCACCTGGGTGACCCTGACCTCATCATTCTAGGATCCAGCCTGGCAAGGGACTGCTCAACTTCAGAGAGATCCCAAAATTGTCCTCAATGAAAGGCCTGAGATTTTTATTATTTTCATTTTTTTTTTTGAGACGGAATCTTGCTCTGTTGCCAGGCTGGAGTGCAGTGGTGTCATCTTGGCTCACTGCAACCTCCACTTCCTGGGTTCAAGTGATTCCCGTGCCTCAGCCTCCCAAGTAGCTGGGATGACAGGCGTATACCGCCATGCCTGGCTAATTTTTTGTATTTTAGTAGAGACCAGGTTTCACCATGTTGGCCAGGACGGTTTTTTTTTTTTTTTTTTTTTTTTTCTGAGGCTGACAATACCTGGTTTGTTGAGGATCCAGGCAGCTTGATCCCCTCATACATTGCTTATGAAACGGATACAACCATATTGGCAAACTGGCGGTATTTATAAAATCTAAACATACGAATCCCCGATGACCAACTAATTCCTTGCCTCACCCAAGAGAAATGAGACCTTATGTGTACCAAAAGACACGAACAAAACTATCCACAGCAGCTTCTTCCTGATGGCCCCAAACTGGAAATGACCCAGATATCCGTTCATAGGAGAAAAGATTTTTTTTTTGCTTTTTTTAAAAAAAATTTTTTAATAAACTTTTATTCCCAGATTTAGAATTGAAGGAGAAAAAATTTTTAAAACATTAGCTGAATGTGGATTTTAAAAATATGGATTAAAAAAAAAAAACAAAGTGTGGCATGTTCACAGAGAGGAATTCTGTGGAACAATGGAGTTTCCTTCACATCCCCAGCCTGTGTCATGATGGATTTACTTTCCTGGTTTTGAATTTCACACATGTGGAATTGTCTGCACATTTTGGGGTCTGACTTCATTGTACGCATCATCTTCACTGTTGTGGGTTGTGGTTGTGTGTTCGCTTCCATTGTGGTACACAGTAGGTATTGTCAGTCCTTTTGATTTTGTCAGTTTTTTTAAATTTTAGCCATTCTTGAGTCGGTGAAGAGCTATTTTTGACATGGAATGACAAGATTTGGTGTGCCAGAGGTTAAGGCCTGAGCATCCAGGGGAGCACAAGCCTGTCTTCCATGCCCTGCTGTGGTATAACAATGTTTCAGTGTGCTCAGGAGGAAAACAGAGACAGCAGAGAAGCTGAGTGCTTCAAAGTGGGCAGAAATGAGACAGGTATTAAAAAAAGGAGCTAGGCTAATGGTGAGACTCTTGGATAATTTTGTCATTAGCTACAATGGTCAGTGACAACATGATTTACACACACACACACACACACACACACACACACACACACGGTGGGATATCCGAAATATTAAGCAGATACCCCACCTTAGTATAGCAGGGGCACTGCCTCATCAGCATGGATGCAGGTCAGGAGAGCCTGTGTGGATGTGCTGGCTGGAAACTCGGTCCTGTTCACAGGTCATGACTTTAACGGTCAAGTAACAAAGCCAAGAAAGCCGACAGGGCAGTGCTGGGAGCGCCGGGTTTGCGCTGTGGCTAGAACGCAGCACACTCAAGTATCGCCCATCAGGGCTAGCGGTACTCGTGATGGTCTGGGCCAGTACAATGGGTAATCCAGAGTATTCAAGTCAGCACGAACATACTGACAAGTGGGAGAAGAGCCAGCCGTTTCCAAGAAATACAAATTGGAACTGGCGATAACTTAAAGAACATAATTAGACGGGAGAAAGCACTGGGTTTCACTAAAATATGAAGACACACGTCCTGTCTTCATGTCAGCAACTGCCCAAAGTACACGCGTTCAGGAGCAAAGGGCGGGTAGGGTGCGGAGGCTAACGGCCCGCCACAACCGCGCTCGCACGCCCACGCCTCCGAGTGACAGCTGCTTCCAATTTCGCGATCTTTAAGGAAAAAAAAAACAACAAACCAACTTCTCTAAAAGTCACGATTCGAGCCGCACCTGAGGACGCTTCGGGTAAAATCTCTCCTTCACCTCAGATATAGGAGTTGGCGATGGAGCGCGGGCTTCGTCTGAGGTACAGGAGTGATTTAACCCGAAGCGCGTATGCAAGACGCAGGACCGCGAGCGGGCTGCTCTCACCTTTTTTTCTCCCTGCAGGGTACCGAGACCCCGGCTAGGGCGGCAGGCGGCCCCGACCCATCTGTCGGAAATGATGAGTGGCTCCCTTCGCTGAGGGCGGCAGGACCAACAGCAGCTGGAATAGCAGGCGTCCCGCAGCCCCACACAGCGGCGCTTTAAGCCGCTAACCCCGCGTCCCCGAGCGAGGGGCCAATGAGCCGCCAGCTAAGTTCACATACCTAGAAGACAGCTTTTGATTGGCTGGGCGCCGGCCAATCAGCGGGACGGGCGCGCGCGCGCGAGTTGTCAGGCTGTTCCAATGGGTTAAGGTTGGGCTCGGACTGGGGCTGAAGGGAGAGGCAGGAGCCCGGGCGGCCGGGCCTGAGGAATGTGTGTGTGAAAGGGCGCGTCGGCCATAAGAAGCCATACGTGTGCGAGCCGGTCCCCACTGCCCCCGCGGCGTTGTCACCATCATCCTAAGGCCACTGGAGCAGCCTCGGGCGCTGCTGCCTGGGATCCGAGCCCGGGCTGCGGCGGGCTCTGCAGGCTGGCACTCAGACCCAGCGCGCAGAATGGCAGGCAAGTATGTCCTCAGTCCTACCCGCGGGTACCCAACACCGCGCCTGTGAGTGCCAGGACCTCCATTGCTCCATGGCCTATGCCTAGGCAGAGCTCTTGACCAGGACCCACGGAAACCTCACTTACATTGGCACAAGGACAAAAACGCAACTGATCGTTTCACGTAACTGAAAAGGCCAGGAGTAGGCCTTCGGGCATGGCTGTATCCAGGTGCACACTGACCATGGTCCTGGAAAGTTTCTCTCCATCTCTCAGCTTCTTTCCTTTTTACTGGCTTCCCTTCTGAAGGCAAGATGATCGCCAGGACCTCCTGAGGTTTACATGTTATCAGATTATCATCCTCAACAAAAAGGAGATTCTTTTTTCCCCAGGGTAGTGGTGAGTTGGGCCCATCCAAACTACAAGGACTCAGTTGGGTGTGGGTCCCCCCAGGAATATAGCAGTGCTGTAATGACCAGAAGGTGCCTCGGATGCTGTGCAGGGCAATGCCCCCATCCTCTGTGTTTTCAGGCATCGGCTGGGAGAGTTGATGCTTGAATCTATTACTCTAACAAAATGTAACAATAATAATAATGGTTCTTATGACAGTGAAACACAAAAACATTCGTATGGCTCTTAGAGTTTCCACACTACAAAGCACTTTGACCCATCACTGTCAGGCAAACAGGGCTTTGCACTCACTGGAGATGCTCTATAGCCCAATATTCAAGCAGTTTGTTGGGGGGTGGAACAGGGAAGAGTAACAGGCTGTGTAACCCCGAATACTTTGTCATCCCAGAGACAAGGCACCCGGGTTTCTATAGCGGAAGGAGGTTAGTTTCACGATGTTTTCCTTCAGTATTTCAGTAAGTTGGGGGTGTCTGACAAACCATCATAGGTGATGTGATTGGCAGCTCCATGTCCTGGGAAGTTCTCACCAGGTTGGAACGCGCCTGCCTTTCCTGACGCTCCAAGCACAAGTTTAGCTTAAGTCAGCTTGAAGCTGGTTGGCTTGGGAATGCAGGATGCCAGCCCCCAGGAACCCCTAGACATTGACACATGAGTGAGCACACACCTGCTTCTAGTGTCACCCTCTCACTCTTCTTGGGCTCAGAGGATGCCCCCCTGCCCCGCCACCCCTGAGCTTTATTGTTGAGAGTCATTTCTGAGAAGGCAGGCCTGGGCCTGTGCCTTAGCATTCCTGCCCCCCAGTTTACACAAACCCTGAAACTTCTAAGCTTTCCTCTTCTTGTTTTCTAGGAATAACACATTTCAAACCTACAAGAAAGAAGAGTGCCTCCCAGGTCATTCGGTAAGGAAAGCAATCCTCAGCCACTTGGCCCTGACCCCCACATGCCCCTGTGTGGTGAGGAGAGCAGAGAATGTGGGTCCAGAAGCTGCATCCCATGAGAGGATACTCCAAACACAAAAGTAGGGTTGCAGGAGCCATCCCTGGGGCTCCAGAAAAGAGCCCCCTTCAACTCCCAGGCCCTCACAGCACCTCTCTGAGTTCAGGAGCCTTGGGAGAATCAGCGGGCCACCTAATGTACCTACTCTGGGCATCAGCTTTTCCATCTGCTCCTGGAGGTGATGGCAGCCCCTCTCCTTCCTGCCTAAGCATGTTACGAAGGTCCCAGGGAATGAATGTGAAAGCTCTTGTAGATCAGAGTGAGACAGATGGTGACAAAGGCAGCACTCATGTGTCCATAAGCTCTAGAGCTGGTTGTACATCCCCCTTTTCAGAGGAGGACCACGACACTTTCTCATAGTAGCATGGCAGTAAGCAGCTGAGAATCCTAGCATACCTGGTTTGTAGGCTCTGGCGGATCCCCCTCCAAATGATCTTGGAGGCCTCAGAGTGAGCCACGGTAGCCTGCCCCTTTCCAAGCTGCAGTAGGAGCTGGGGACCCTGTCCCTGGACACTGTTTTCCTGAGCATGTAAAACGTATAGTGTGGTAAGTTTTGACATAGGTCTTCCCCCTGAACCCACCACCACCATCAATATAATGAACATATACACAACCCTTAACCATGTCCTTCGGCTCTTTTGTAACTTTACCTAACATACCATACCCTGACATCCCCAGGGGCAAGACTGACCTGCTCTCTCTCACTGTAGATTAGTTTGCATTTCTGAGAATTTCATATAAATGGAGTGATAGACTATGTACTTTTTTTCTGGCTTCTTTCACTTAGCATTATTATTTTGAGATTTTTCTGTGTGATCATGGGCATCAGTAGTCATTCTTTTTATTATTGAGTAATGATGCATTCTATGAAAAGACCACAGTTCATTCATTCACCCAGAAGGACATTTGGGTTGTTTCTACTTATCTGTTTCACACAAAGCTGCTATGAACATTTGTGTATAAGGCTTTGCATGAATATATGCCTTCATTCTTCTTGGGTAAATACCAAGGAGTGGAATTCCTGAATCATATGTAGGTGTATGTTTAACTTAAAACAAAAAACCTGTTGACTGTTTTCCACCATTTTACATTTCTACTAGGAGTGTCTACAGTTCCAGTTCCTCCACGTCGTCACCAACACTTGGTTTAGCTGATCTTTTTAATTTGAGCCATCTTAATAGGTGTCTATCTCATGGTAGTTTTCATTTATATACCTATGATAACTGGTGATGTCAAGGATCTCTTCATGTGCTTTTGCCATCTGCATGTTTTACTCGGTGAAGCATCTGTTTAATTGTTTTGCCCTTCTAAAAGAATTGCTTTTTTAAATTACTGAGTTTTGATTGTTCTTTATATATTCTAGATACAAATTCTAGATACAAGTTCTTGATCAGAGATTCAATTTGTAAGTATCTTTCCGTGTCTTTAGCTTGCCTTTTTTTTTGAGACCAGATCTCACTCTGTTTCCTAGACTGGAGTGTATAATCACGGCTCACTACAAACTTGAACTCCCCAGCTCAAGCAATCCCTCTACCTCAGTCTCCCAAGTAGCTGGGACCACAGATGTGCACCACCATAGGAGACTAATTTTGTTTATTTTTTATGGAGATGAGGTCTCACCATGTTGCCCAGGCTAGTCTTAAACTCCTGGGCTCAAGGGGTCCACCTGTGTTGGCCTCCCAATGTGCTGGGATTAAGGTGCGAGCCACTACGCCTGACCTGGCTTGTCTTTTTATTCTTTCATCAGTGTCTTTCAGAGAGAGTTTTACCTTTTGATGAAGTTCAGTTTATCGGTTCCATGTTTCCCAGATCTTGCCTAGGTGTGCCCATCCCCAGCACGGCAGTAGATCACACTTTAAGTGTTGTAGCTAAGAGATCTTTGCCAAACCTGAGGTCAAAAAAGGTTTTTCCTATGTTTTCTTTTGGAAGTTTTATAATTTTATGTTTTTGCCTGTGATCCATTTTTTAATTTTTATATATGGTATGAGGTATGGATTGAATTTTTTTTTTTTTTTGAGATGGAGTCTTGCTCTTTAGCCTAGGCTGCAGTGCAGGGACATGATCTCAGCACACTGCAACCTCCGCCTCCTAGGTTCAAACCATTCGCCTGCCCCAGCCTCCCAAGTAGCTGGGACTGCAGATACATGCCACCATGCCTAGCTAATTTTTTGTACTTTTAGTAGAGATGGGGTTTCACCATGTTGGCCAGGCTGGTTTTGAAGTCCTCATCTCAGGTGATCTGCCCGCCTTGCCCTCCCAAAGTGCTGGGATTACGGGCATGAGCCACTTCACCCAGCCTTGAATTGATTTGTTTGCATATTGATTTGTCTAATTGTTGTAAGGGCTGTATTTTCTCTGCTGACTCACCTTGATACCTTTGTCAAAGATCAGTCGTTGCTGTAGTTTAGATGTTTGTCGCCTCAAGCCTCATGATAAAATTTGGTCCCCATTGTTGGAGTTGGGGATGGCCAGTGCTGGAGGGGGAGGTCCCTCATGAATGGATTGGTGCTGTCCTTGTGGTAGTAACTCAATTCTCTTTTGACTAGTTCCCAAGAGAGCTGGCTGCTAAAAAAAAGCTTACCATCTCCTCCCCTCTTTCTTGATTCTCCTTTCATATGTGATCTCAACATATGTATGTGGGCTCCCCTTCACCTTCTACCATGAGAAGAAGCAGACACCCAATCTGGAACTTTCCAGCCATCAGGATCATGAGTCAAAGAAACCACTTTTCTTTTTCCTTTTTTTTTTTTTTTTTTTCTGAGATGGAGTCTCACTCTGTTGTCCACACTGGAGTGCAGTGGCACGATCAATCTCAGCTTACTCTGCTGCCCACGCTGGAGTGCAGTGGCATGATTTTGGCTCACTGCAACCTCCGTCTCCCGGGTTCAAGTGATTCTCCTGCCTCAGCCTCCCAGCTAGCTGGGATTACAGGTGATTGCCACTATGCCTAGCTGATTTTTGTATTTTTATTAGGGATGGATTTTCACTATATTGGCCAGGCTGGTCTCGAACTCCTGACCTCAAGTGATCCTCCTGCCTCAGCCTCCCAAAGTGCTGGGATTACAGGCATGAGCCACCATGCCTGGCCTTTCCACTATGTCTAATAGCCCCTACTGCTACGTGCAGAGCTGGGCCATGGTATAACCTCCTCCTCATCCTGTTGCCCAAACCATGTGCATGGTCCAACTCACAGCTGAGAGGTGGGACCACACTGTCTTTCTGCTGGAGAAGCTGCAAGGTCACAGTGCCAAGGGTGGGCTGTCGGGAGGGTGAGGAACTGAGGCAAGAGTGTGATTCACTATAATTCACAGACATACGATTGCATGCACATTCTTTTTTGAAAAATGCAAATGATAATGTACTGAACTCACAGTGCTGCACTTTCTTCACTTTACATCCTGCCTCAGAGTTTAGTCCATGTTAGTCCAGACAGCTCTGTCCCATTCTTCTCAGGGCTGCCCATACCCTGTTGCCCAGTGTCTGTCATTTATTGACTCTTACTGAAAGGCATTCAGGCTGTCCAGTCACTCTTGACAATGGTGCAATGAATATTTCTGTGCGTGGGATACTTTGCAGATGTGAAAGTATTCTCATAGGAAACATTCCTGCAAGTGGAATTGCTGCATCAAAGGCTGTCCATTTTAGAACCTGATAAAATTTGTTAAGATGCCAGCAGAGCCCTCTTCATAGCTGAGATCACTGAGGCGCAGGGATGCTAAGTGTCGTGCCCAAGGGCCCCAGCTGGAGACCACCAGGCCAGGACAGAACCAGGTCTCCCAATAACAACCTGTATGCTCTGCCAGGGTAAGGAGACCAGGTGAGCCACGGAGGTCCTGTGTCTTCCAACAGTGGGAAAGTAGAGGGCAGACCACACTCCCATACCTGGAGGGTCCATATCTGGGGTGTGCTTGTGGGCAGAAACAGCTCTCCAGGAACTTCCCTGATACTAAGGCTGATCCAGAGGGTCTTCTGGGGGATGATTCCACAGGAGATTTATTGGGGGCATGGCTCCATCCCCTTCTGAACCTTCTCTTCCCTTCCTCTCTGTTAGAGTCAAAAGATAGTTCAATTTTATATCCACCAAACTACCAGGATGTGCCCCTGCCCATTCCACTGCTTTGGGGGCCATCTCCTGAAGCCTAGGGACCAGGTATTGATGCCCTACTGGGTGCCCCAGGTCCTGAGGTCTTAGCAGCAGGTAAGGAGGAGGAGTACATTGCAGTGAGGACTGAAGAGTGAGGTGGGTGCCGGGTGAAGGGGAGATGAGAGGAAGATGGGGAAGAGGGGTGCCTGGGTTCTGCTCCCACAAAGGTCTCTGTTGGTGTCCAGAGAAGATCTCCTAGCAGCTGTGGCCACAGGCCCCGGAGCACAGAGGGCAGGTGTGGCTCAGGGAGGGCCGGCCCTGGTCTCCTGGTGGGCAATAGAAGGGCAGGGCTGCGCTAATCTCTGCAGAGGGGTGGTCTGGCACCCACTGCTGCAGCTGCTGTCTTTCCTTCTTCTCTTCCTGCCCCTCTACACTCTCCCTGACCTCTCTCACCTCTCTGCCTCCTCCTTCCCACACCTCTTTCCTTCCCTGGCCTGGCCCCTCCTCTGACTCTCTCCCCTGGTCCTGCCTGGATGGAGATAGGTGGGAAGGAGGGTACCCGGGATGGACCACTACCAGGTGGCCTGTCCTCTCTGCTCTTGCTGTCCGTCTCCACAGCACTAATTCTGGGCAGCAGCTGCAGGCCTCCTCCTAGCCCCTGGGCCTCTCACTCCTCTGCTTTCTCTATGTCCTGGGTGGTAGACAGGGGCTTCCTTCCCCATGACTTCTGGTTGCTGGTTTTCCATTATTGGGTAGCAGGCTGTCCCCAGAGAAAAGAGCCCACAGGCCTCATAAAGAAAAGCCCATGGCTTGTATCCTGAGCTGGCCAGCGCCCCTCCTGGAGGTTCAGAGTCCTGGTCACTGGGCTCTCCACCTTGGAGGATTGCCGGGCTGACATGCTTGTCGTCATTCTTGTCTTTTAGGTGGTGAGGAGGCAGGAGAGTTTGAAAGGCATCCAAGGTGTGCGTGTGTCTCCTGTCATCCCCCTCCCCAGAAAGGTCCATGAATGTCATGGTGGGGGGTGGACCTCTCATCCCCAGACACCTGCCTACAGTGTGACAGTGACATACATGTGGCTTCCCCTCCCCTGCTCACCAGCCATCCCTGGTCACCTACTACCTTTCCCCAGTGAGCACAGAGAAACCTCTGCTCTACAGGCAGACCCCACGTATCTGCTAGCGTCTGCTCTCTGGATAAAACCAGCTCCCAGCCTGGACTTAGATGAGACTTCAAGTGGTTTTGTTAAGCTCTAATCTGCCATAATTTATGATGTAGTGTGTATATACATATTTATGACATAGTACATATTCCTATATATATCCTATTATATACTCATGCATTCATATATTCATGGCACATTGAATATTCAAAACACAATACTTATCTATTTATTCATTACCTAGTATGCTCATATATTCACATATTTGTGACCTACTGTAGATACATTCACATGTTCATGATCAACATAATATATACTCACATTCATGCATTCACAATGCACTTTGTATTCATATGAGGGAGCTTGAAAAAGTTCATGGAAAATGCATATAATATGCTAGGCGCAGTGGTTCACACCTGTAATCCCAGCACTTTGGGAGGCTGAGGAGGCTGGATTGCCTGAGCTCAGAAGTTTGAAGACCAGCCTGGGCAACGTAGTGAAACCTTGTCTCTACTAAAATACAAAAAATTATCTGGGCATGGTGGCACATGCCTGTAGACCCAGCTCCTTGGGAGACTGAGGCATGAGAATTGCTTGAACCCGGGAGGCAGAGGTTGCAGTGAACTGAGATCACACTATTGCACTCCAGCCTGGGCAATAGAGTGAGACTCTGTCCCCCTAAAAATAAAAATGTGTATAATAAAAATGAAACAATGTATGGATTCCAATTTTTTTTTTTGCACCAAACTAAACTCATACTAACTTGTTATAATGTACCTGAACAGGATTTGGTTTGAGATGCTAAGAAGGAAAAGACATCAGTTTAAAAAGAGCCCCTACTGGCCAGGCATGGTAGCTCATGCCTGTAATCCCAGAACTTTGAGAGGCCGAGGTGGGCAGATCACAAGGTCAAGCGATCGAGACTATCCTGGCCAACATGGTGAAACCCTGTCTCTACTAAAATACAAAAATTAGCTGGGCGTGGTGGCATGCACCTGTAGTCCCAGCTACTTGTGAGGCTGAGGCAGGAGAATTGCTTGAACCTGGGAGGCGGAGGTTGCAGTGAGCTGAGATCATGCCACTGCACTCTAATCTGGTGACAGAGTGAGACTAGACTTCATCTAAAAAAAAAAAAAAAAAAAAAAAAAGCCCCTATCAGAGCAACATGAATTCTGGTAAAATTGAAGCCAGAACAAACATCATGTTTATGGTGACGTTTGGGTGGAACAGTGGTAAAATCACTGATGCTTTATGACAAGTTTATGAGGACAATGTACCACAGAAATCAGCAGTTTACAGATGGGTAACTCATTTTAAAAATTGATGAGATGATGTTGAAGGTGCAGCCTGCAGTGGCAGACCATCCACATCCATTTATGAGAAAAAACATTCATCTTGTTCATACCCTCAAAGAGGACTGATGATGGCTGGGCGCGGTGGCTCAAGCTTGTAATCCCAGCACTTTGGGAGGCTGAGGCGGGTGGATCATGAGGTCGAGAGATCGAGACCATCCTGGTCAACATGGTGAAACCCCGTCTCTACTAAAAATACAAAAAATTAGCTGGGCATGGTGGCGTGTGCCTGTAATCCTAGCTACTCAGGAGGCTGAGGCAGGAGAATTGCCTGAGCCCAGGAGGCAGAGGTTGCGGTGAGCCGAGATCGCGCCATTGCACTCCAGCCTGGGTAACAAGAGCGAAACTCTGTCTCAAAAAAAAAAAAAAAAAAAAAAAAAAGAGGACTGATGATTACTGAAATAAACTCTAGCCAACACCGTAGACAGTAGACATCTCCACTGGTTCAGCTTACACAATTCTGACTGCAAAATCAAAGTTGAGCAAAACCTTTCACTTAGAGGGCATCAAAACCATTGTGTCCAGATCAGCTGCAGACAAGGACAGAGCTTTCAGTGGAAATTTTAAAGAAGCAGGATCAAGATCCTGAAACATTTTTTTAAAGCATTGTAACAGGAGATGAAACATGGCTTCACCAGTACCATCCTGAAGACAAATGACAACCAAAGCAATGGCTACCGAGAGCTGAATGTGGTCTCATCTCAGTAAGAGTGGTCAGGTCAAGAGCAGAGGTCATGACAACAGGTTTTTGGAATTCTCAAGGCATTTTGCTTGTTGACTTTCTAGAGGGTCAAAGAACAATAACATCTGCCTGTTATGGGAGTGTTTTGAGGAAGTTAGCCAAAACTCTAGCAGAAAAATACTCTGGAAACTGCCAGGAGAGTCCCTTTCTCCCACAGCAAGGCTCTCACTCATTCCTTTTGCCAAACGAGGGCAACTTTGTGAGAGTTTTGATGGGAAATTATTAGGTATCCACCTTACAGCCAAATTACAGTCCTGATTTGGCTCTTTCTGACTTGTTTCCTCATCTTAAAAAATCTTTAGCAGGCACCCATTTTCTTCAGTTAATAATGTGAAAAAAACACTGCATTGATGTGGTTAACTTCCCAGGACCCTCTGCTCTTTCAAGATGGACTAAATGGCTGGTGTCATCACTGACAAAACTGTCTTGAGCTTGTGGTGCTTATGTTGAGAAACAAAGTTGATTTTTTTCTTTAAAAAAAAAAAAACTTGGTTTTTCTGCTCCCCCCTCCCTTTTTTTTTAAAGATATTTTTCATTTTCATTTTATTTATTTATCTTTATTTATTTTTTGGAGATATTTTAATTTTTATTTATTTATTTTTTAGACAGAGACTCACTCTGTCACCCAGGCTGGAGTGCAGTGGTATAATCTTGGCTCACTGAAATGTCTGTCTCCTGAGTTCAAGTGATACTCCTTCTTCATTCTCCTGAGTAGCTGGGACTACAGGCATGTGCCACCATGCCCAGCTAATTTTTTGTATTTTTAGTAGAGGGTGGGTTTTATTGCATTAGCCAGGATGGTCTCGATCTCTTGACCTCGTGATTCATCTGCTTCAGCCTCCTAAAATGCTGGGATTACAGGCGTGAGCTACTGTGCCTGGCTTATTTATTATTTTTTAATTTTAATTTTAATTTTCTTTTTGGGATGGAGTCTTACTCTGTCACTCAGGCTAGAGTGCAATGGCATGATCTTGGCTCACTGCAACCTCCACCTCTTGGGTTCAAGCGATTCTCCTGTCTCAGCCTCCCAAGTAGCTGGGACTACAGGAGCATACCACCACGCCTGGCTAATTTTTGTATTTTTATTAGAGATGGGGTTTTATGTTGACCAGGCTGGTCTTGAACTCCTTAGCTCAGGTGATCCACCTGCCTTAGCCTCCCAAAGTGTTGGGATTACAGGCATGAGCCACTGTACCCAGCCTATTTTTATCTTTTAATTCCATTTTCTTTGAACTTTCTGCAGTCCCCTTATGTATTCTTAGTTAAGTGTATTTATATATGTACGTGCCTATGACCTGGTATGTAGATAGCTCTATCTGTGACCTGGCATGTATATGTATTCCTGCTCTCATGACAGTATATGGGGAGATCAGGACCTCCACCCCCACCATTACTTTCTTTGTCTGTAAAAGGAGTGGGTTGGACTTGATCTTGAAGGTGTTTTCTGGTGCGGAGGGCTGCCGGGTCTGTGTTTTCTGGGCTGCCATCATGTCGTTCCCTTGCTGCACCAGTTCTTTGTAGTGAGTTTGCCTTGATGGAATCTATGAATGAGTAAATCTGAATGGAGTTGGGTTCCTGGAAAAGGTGAGTGATTTGAGTAGAACCCCCAGAGGCTAGGGTTGGGGAATGCTTGGGAAATGAATAATCACCAAGTAACCACTCACCTCTTAAGGCTCTTTGAACCGTGTAAGCACACATTTGTCGGTTTACTTTTATTGACTATTTTTGGTTTTGAAAACTTTGCATCTTTTAAGAAAAGCTAAAAGCTTAGTTGACGTGTATCATCTGATAACTGATACTTAAAAAAACGGCATTAATTTTTATGCTAATTATTGCTTTGTAGTTTAGGTAATTTTTATAAGTAATGTTTTAAGCCTCAAACCCATTCATGCCAGAGGATTTCCCAGCAAAGGATTAAGAGAGCAGGTCTCATTGCTGCCAGGAGAATGATGATCGTTCTTCCCTCTGACTGCAAGTACAGAGTGATTTAAAAGTGTGAGACATTTTCTTTGGCCTCAAATCTGACTGATTTCCATTTTAACGAGAAAGTTCACATTTCCGATCTTAACGTTTTTTCTTGTAAAGACAGACTTAGGTGCTTTTCTCCTCTATGTTTTTGTGGCATAATTTCTCATAAGGAGAGTATATTTATGATATTTACATTAATATCATTAGTGTATATTTTATATTAGTAGCATATTAACAGTGTAATAAAAAATAAAAACAAACTCTAGTATCCAGAGGATCACATGCTGGCCAGAGCCCGTCTGGAAAGTGCTGAAGAGCATCAAGGAAATGGAAACGCCAGATTCCATCTGTGCTTGTGGCTTTCCTTCAACTTTTATAACGGAAAATTTCAAATACTCCCCAAAGTGGAGATTGGCTGAAATCAGCCCCATGTGCCCATCACTCAGCTCCAGTCATTATCCTGTGTGGTTCCTCTGATCTTTATCACCTGCTCCTGCTCCTGCTCCAGAAAAAGAGGATTTGGAACCAAGTCCCAGCTGGACATTGTGCATGTTCCTTATGAAATTCTAAAAGAGAAAGACTCTTGAAAAATATCTCCAAGGCTGCTTGTCACCCAGGAAATCATAAACCCACAAGATGGCCTGTATCTTGTGAGCTCGGGGTCAGTGTTTCCACCCCAGGGCTGTGGCTGGGTCCTAGAAGTCCCTGTTTCTCAGAGGCTCTGGGGCTGGTGTTGCAGCCTCCTTGTGTCTCGCAGAGATCCAGGGAACGTGCCCTGTCCTCACCCCACCTTTTCTTTGCCTAGAACCCCCGCTGGATGCATGTTCCTGGCACAACTGCTGGCAGATCTGTGGTGACGGGCGCTTGCTGCCCTAATGGCTGCTCCAGGCCCCCTACCAGGACGAGCTGCTGGCTTCTCCAGCACGTCTGCCGCCCCTTGGCTTCCTGTCCCTCCTCCAGGCCATCCTGAGTGTTATCGTGGCCATTCGGTGAGCAGGCAGGGGATGGGGGACAGCGGGTGGCCCTGGCATAGAGACACTCACCAGAGAGAGGCTTGGTGGCCATCAGGGACATGGGAGAGTGGGGGGCAGGGGTTAGCTTGACAGGTGCCAGAGGCCTGGCACTGTGAGTGTGTCCTGTGGCGTTCTGCACAGCACAGGCTCTGTTCTATCTCACCTAGAGATGCCAGGGCAGGCTGGGAGCAGTGCGGACCTCGTGGGGCATTTCCACATTTCTCCTTTCACCCCTTCCCTGTTCCCAACTTCTAAAGTGGCCCTGCTTCCAGAAGGACAGGGGCCCCAGTTTCCATACATTTCCATTGTTATGTTGGGATTGGCGATGCATCTTAATGGCTACTTGCCCTCCAGCCTGTGAGGCCTAGGCACCGCATCAGGCATGGGGACCTCCTGCCTGTCCCCAGCTTGAGCCCTGGCTGCCAGGCTCCATACTAGAAGGCTCCTTTCCCAGGTCTCTAGTCCCTGCCCTCACCCAGGCTTCAAGTTTTGCCCCTGACACCTTTGCTGCCCACTGCCATAGCTTCCTGCTGGGATACCTCACTCAGAAAGCCTCCAGGGCCACTCCTGTGATCAAGAGGCATCTGTGACAGTTGCTGCTTTCTCATATAACATAATCCACACCCAGAATTCAACCCAAATTATTTATCATTAGGCGATTCTTGGTTGTAGTGGCATTCATGTGAATGTGGGTGAGATTCTGTTGTGAATGTGGTCAATAGATGTTATTTGTGAAACTCTAAACTGGCCAACTCTTAAATAATAACCTCTGATTTTCCTTCATTAAGTGGAGACTTGTTCCCATCTCTGTGTCCCTGGGAGAGGGCAGCTGTTTCCAAGTGTCTATTCCCTCTGCCAATGGACAGCAGACCAGCTGCATGACAGTCTGAAAATGGCTTCGGCACCTGTGTGAGGTGGGTCTCATTTTGTATAACGTTGTATGTGAATTGAATTTTAAAATCTGAGATATCATTTACATGTCATAAAATTCACTCTTTTAGAGTATGCAATTCAGTGGTTTTTAATATATTTACAGTGTTGTGTAACCATCGCCACTCATTCTAGAACATTCACTGCAAAAATTCCATACCATTAAGCAGTCACTCTTTTCCATCTCCCCCAGCCCCTGGTGACCTCTGATCTGCTTTCTGTCTCTGGATTTGCCGGTTCTGAGGCATTTCATCTCAATGCTGTTTTCCGACATGTGATATCTTATGACTGGCTTCTTTCACTCAGCATTAAGCCTTATCCATATTGAGGCATAAGTCAGTATGTCATTTCTTTTGATGGTTGGATTTTAAGTTGTTTCTGCTTTTCGGTGATTCTACTTTGTGAATAATGCGGTTATGAACATTTATGTACAAGTGTTTGTGTGGACAGAGGTTTGCATTTGTCTGGGGTGTATACCTGGGATCGGAATTGCTGGATCATATGTTACTCCATGTTTCATATTTTGAGAACCTGCCAAGCTCTTGTCCACAGCAGCTGCCCAATTTTCTACACCCACCAGCAGTGCACGAGGGTTCCCATTTCCCTGTGTCCTCACGACACTTGTTTCATCTGTGACTTTGCTGATAGCCATCCTAGCAGGTATGCAGTGGTATCACACTGTGGTTTCCATTTGCATTTTTCTGATGACTACTTCTGTTGAATGTCTTCCCATGTACTTATTGGACATCTGTATAGCTTCTTTGGAGAAATGTCTATTCAAATACTGTGTCTATGTTAGATACACACACATATATACATACACACACAGACATATACATATACCTATCTATAGATATGCCCCCTGCCCCACATATACATATTTTTGAGAGAGGGCCTCACTCTGTCACCCAGGGTGGAATGCAGTGGTGCAGTCATAACTCACCAGAACTTACCTCCTGTGCTTAAGCAATCCTTCTGCCTCAGCCTCTCATATAGTTGGGACCACAGACACATGCCACAATACTCCGCTATTAATAGTTTTTTATTTTTGTAGAGATGGGGTCTTGCTTTTTTGCCTAGGCTGGTCTTGAACTCCTGGGCTCAAACAATCTTCCTGCCTCTGCCTCCTGCAGTGCTAGGATTGCAGGCATGAGCTACCACGTCCGGCCCTTTGTCTACATTTTAATTTGGTTGTCTATCAGTCATTTTATTATTGAGTTGTAACTGTTCTGTGTATATATGCTAGACCCATATCAGATATATGATTTGCAAGTATTTTCTCCTATCATGTGGGTTATCTTTTCATTTTCTTGATGATGTCCTTTAAAGTCGTCATAAGGTTTTACTTTTTCCTAGGTTGCATGGACTTTAGGTGATATGCTCGTATCTAAGAAACCATTGCTGGATTCAAGGTCACGGGAATTGCACTTTCCCTCATGTTTTCTTCTTTTTTTTGAGTTGGAGTCTCACTCCGCTGCCCAGGCTGGAGTGCAGTGATGTGATCTCGGCTCACTGCAACTTCCACCTTGTGGGTTCAAGTGATTCTTCTGCCTCTGCCTCCTAGGGAGCTGGGATTACAGGTGCCTGCCACCATGCCCAGCACTTTTTTTTTTTTTTTTTGAGATGGAGTCTTGCTCTATTGCCCAGGCTGGAGTGCAATGGCACAGTCTGGGCTCACTGCAATCTCCGCCTCAAAGGTTTTAGTCAGGTGTCCCCAAACTACGGCCCCGCGGGCTGCATGCAGCCCCCTGAGGCCATTTATCCGGCCCCCTGCTGCACTTCAGGAAGGGGCACCTCTTTCATTGGTGGTCAGTGAGAGGAGCACAGTATGTGGCGGCCCTCCAACGGTCTGAGGGACAGTGAACTGGCCCCCTGTGTAAAAAGTTTGGGGACGCCTGGTTTAAGTGATTCTCCTGCCTCAACCCCCTGAGTAGTTGGGATTACCGGCATGTGACAGGGTTTCACCATGTTGATCATGCTGGTCTTGGACTCCTGACCTCATGATTTGCCTACATTGGCCACCCAAGGTGCTGGGGTTACAGGCGTCAGCCACCACGCTTGATGGCCCCGTGTTTTCTTCTAAGAGTGTTATCATTCTAGCTCTTACATTTAGGTTTTTAAAATCTATTTTGAGTTTAATTTCTGTATATGGCATAATGTGGGGGTCCAGCTTCATTCTTTTGCTTGTGGATATCCAGCTGTCCTGCGTACCACAATGAAATGATAAAATTACAAAAATGGAGAGCAGATTAGTGGTTTCCGGGTGCTCAGGAGGGGTCTGGGTCTGGTGGGACGGAAGGGCCTGTGGGTTTAGAGGGGCAGTGAGAGGTATTCTTGTGGCTGGAAATGCATCAGTGTCAGTGTTCTGGTTGCAGTATTGTACTGTGGTTTTACTGTGTGTTACCAATCGGGGCAAACTGAATAAAGGATAACGTGGGGCTTCTTTGTATTGTCTCTCTCTTTTTTTTTTTTTGAGGCTGGGTCTCACTGCACTGCCCTGGCTGGAAGGCAGTGGCTCGATCCTGGCTCACTGCAACCTCCGCCCCTGGGGCTCAAGCGTTCCTCCTACCTTAGCCTCCTGAGTAGCTGAGATTACAGGCACATGCCACCACGGCTGGCTAATTTTTGTATTTTTAGTAGAGATGGGGTTTCTTCATGTTGGCCTGGCTGGTCTCAAACTCCTGACCTCAAGTGATCTGCCTGCCTTGGCCTCCCAAAGTGCTGGGATTTACAGGTGTGATCACCGCTCCCCACCTCTCTGTATTATTTATTGTATGTGTATGTGAGTCTGTAATTATCTCAAAATGAGAAGTTTAATTGTAGAAGCAACACAATTCACTGTGAAAGATTTTAAGGATACAGATAACTACAAAGAAGAACATAAAACTACTCAGGTTCTATTCAGGCAGGAAGGAAAGGACACATTCCCGTGGAGGTGACCAAAGGGAGGACCTAAAGGTCACAAACAGGCTTGGACAGCAGCTTGCATCTGTAATCTCAGCTTATTATGAGGCTGGGGAGGAATGCTAGAGGCCAGGAGTTCGAGACCAGACTGGGCAACATAGCAAGACCCTGTCTCTAAAAAATATAAAAATTAGCCACACATAGTGGTGCATGCCTGTAGACCCAACTACTTGGGAGGCTGAGGTGGGAGGATCTCTTGAGCCCAGATGTTTAAGGCTACAATGAGCTATGATTACACTACTGCACTCCAGCCTGGGCAATACAGCAAGATCCTGTTTCTCTTCAAAAAAGTGTCAAACGGGAAACAGACTCTGGGATGCTTGAACTAGGAGGTCCACCTTAGCGAAAGAAGGAAGAAAGAGGTAGGAGTCTCAGATATACAGAACAAACAGGGCTACAGTCAGTGGCCCAGGGCCTCATGGAGTATCTTGGGCATATCCATATCTCTGCAGTGGAGGGCCTCTCTTTCCTGGGGGAATGGAAGCTGTGTTCTCTTGGGGCACATCTTCAGTGGCCCTAGGGCAACATTAAGCATCATTTATTCAACCAGAAGATATTTATTGGGTGCCTATTATATGCCACGTACCAGGGAGCTGGTATAAGAGGACATGCCCTGCCTCCAAGATGCCACTGCGTTGCTGGGGCATTGTAATTGAGGCGGGGATCATTGCCATCATGAGCGAGGCACATATGAACACAAGGATGGCCCAGGAGCTCTGTCAGTGACCTGCTAACCATTCCCACTTGCAACGTGGGACCATCAGCCACTCTCTGGGGTGTTCTCACTGTGGGAGCCTCTGCAGGGACAACAGGCTGGATGTACAGTGGAGGTGATGCCCCAGGAGCAGCCATTGGCCAGCGATGGGTGGGAAGTGTAGATCAGCACTTCAGTCCCCTCGCCCTTTGATGGGGATGACTCTGGGCCATGTTCCCAATGGGACTGAACCCCTACCACCCACAGGGGCCACCTTCTTGCTAACATCCTTCATGCCAGCTCTCCTTCCTCGTCTCACCTCCCTACCCCCTCACAGGTCTCCCTGAATCACCTCCCCCAAAATACACTTGCACTCAATCCTTGCCTCAGGC